TAAAAAAATTTGAAGAAAAAAAAATTTGAAACTTAGTAATTTACTCACACATGTAGAGACAAAATATTATTTATTATTAAATTTGAATATAATTAATTGATTTGTGATTTGAAATAATAATATAATGTAAATAAAATTTATAAATAGAAAATTATTTTCGTTAGAATAAAAATTTGTTTTTTTTGTTAATTTAAAATGATGGACAATCCATTAAAAAATTCATCGTGCATACAAAAAATTACTTTTATTAAACCATATTTAACTTTTATCTTATTAATAATAGAAAGTAATTAGTGACAGTTAAGTCCATCTATAATTTGAATATTTAACTGATATTATTTATAGAATGTATATGAACACTATACGATTTTATAATGGTGGAATATTAAAATTTATGTTATACATATAATTAATTATTATCGAGTCAATGATTAGTTAGGTGGTAAGCCTACATGAATTATATTAATAATTAATTGCATGCGCATTTATCATGTCAAGGATCCTATAACTTTTCACATTTGCATCTATTAAGCAATGTATTTTAATAAATTTCTATAAAATTTAAAGGTAATAATTACATAAATTTCATTTACGAGGTATTGGTTTGATTTCAAAATTCAATGTAATTTTTTGAACTGACATTTATATTCTGAAATAAAATGTTATTAAGAATTGAAAGTACGGAACGAGTGAACTGAGTTCACTAATAACAGATACATTATTTTCTAATTTTCTATTATTACTCGTTATATCCTGCATTAGAAAGAAAACGTACTACAATTAAAGACAAAAATCATCAGTTTATTATTTTCATGTTTCTTATAAAGTTACTTGAAACTTTTAAATTTGTATTTTTTATACAAGGTCAATCGTAAGTGACGTATAATTATAATTATATTCTTTACAATCGAAATACTTCTATTATTTTCATTTCAGTTTAATGCTCAGCGTGAAAACCTCAAAATTGAATTTATGATTCTTTCAAAATATTAGGTAATTATAAGGATGCATACGCGGCTGTAATACATTGATTATCTCAATGTTAATAATTAATATTTGATTATTCTTCGTTGATAAGTATCGTTTATTCGAAATATTTAATCAAATATTTTAATAGTTGTAGTGGAGTTAATTTTGTGTTTTCAATTTTTTCATTCTTTGAATACATTTTTTTCGAAAATTCACTTAAAAATTTTCTACAGTACATTATTTTTAATATAAGTATAATATTGACAAAAAAAGTATATAATCATTATTTATATCTTAACGGTATATGACATTTTTGTATTTATTATTTATTTAGCGTTAAAAGAATTTCACAAATTCATACATTGATTTTCCTTCACACGAGTATCACACGCTTTAAAGTATAAGACAAAATCTTTTTTTCATTATTTGACAAGCTAACTCAGCGCTGAACATATTATTTTAAAAATTGATAAATTGATTGTAAATAATTTTGAGGTAGTTTAAAAATTAATTTGATGTTTTTGTCAATTAATTAAATATTAAACGATGATAACTGTCATTTCATGAGTACTTATCATTGGATATTTATGGTAAGTACAAGAATCCGTAATGGAAAATTTATGAAAATTATAGCATAGAATAATAAATAGTACGCTGTGAATTGTAAAATCGTGGAAAATTAAATGTATCGGCACTTGTGAAACTAAATTTCAATAAAATATATGCCACCTTCGAAATATGATTTTAAATGTTAAATTTGAAATGACAATGTTAAATCGGTAATAACCAAAGCTCACTTTGCTATTGTAAATATCGTAAACGTTAGAACAAGGTAACGTAAAGCATTCGAACAAGGTTATTGTTAATCAAATGAAATTTTCGAACGGCCATAATAATGAGAAAATAAAAAGAAAAGAAAAAGAGAAATCTGTCGCAAACTCAAAAAGATAGCGATCACCGGCGCGATATATCATATTGAAAACTTACGCGGCGATCCCTTTCATTTTCTCTACAGCAGAATGGCAGAAACGTATTTTCGGCGACCCATCTGGGACGAATAGGTCGGGGCTAACGTGTATAATCATTACTCGAGTCGAGGGTGACTCGAAAGCACTCACGCACACGCCCGTGCAAGATAAATAAGTGGATGCTGCGTGCATGAATTGCGAATCGATCGGCCTCGTCCATCTCCCCCTCCCCGTCCTTCCCATAGCCCCTCATTTTTCCCCTCGGCCCTGTATTTCCTCATCGTTTACATTCGCTCTTCGGCATCTTCCCGTTTTCAAACCTCTCGCGACCCCCACCGCCCAAACTCAAACGAGGCTTTATACATGGCCAGGGCTCTGCGTCCTCTGTTGTTCCTTTCCCGCACTTTTCTCCCTTATAAGCGGCATTGCTGCTGTAATTCCTTTGTCGACAGCACCATTCGGCCGGTACGAGGACCTACCCTCTCGATAAAAAATCCCAGATAAGGACAGCATTTTAACATCCCGATGCGGCTAATTTGCGCGACTTCGAATAGTTTCTATTTTTACTAGTCTAGCTAAGGACAACATTACATTTTTTCGTTCGATGCTAGTTTTATTGTTAGAGCTTAAGTACGATTAATGTGGTTGGTAAGCAGTGCACATAGGCTTTCTCATATTTTCTTCCTTTCTATTAGGCAGTTGTATTGGGTTTTGTTGTAAATTGTAATATATATGTTTACATTGAAGATAAAAAAAAGGAAAAAGAAAGCAATGTTATTAATAGTAGAGATGGTCCATACTTTAAATGACACTGTAGTTTTTATCTCGACACTTATGTATGACCAATTTTGCGTAACAGAATTTTATTATTTTTTTCTTTTTTTTTTTTTTTTAGGTAAACGTTGATTTTTATGAGAAAAGAGAGACATGAAAAAATATGTTTCGAAGGAGAAAGAGACTTTTATACATAATGTATTTTGGTACTTTTTACTTTTTACTTTTCATACAAACTTTCGTTTATGTATCAATGTATTCCTATAAGCCTGTATTGTTAATAATATTAATAGAAACTTAAATATACAACAACAACAACAACAACAACAACAACAACAACAACAAAATCCTGATGATTTTTGTTAATTACCATTAAAAATCTGTAAAAAAAAAAACAAACAAATATTATGCTGAATATTAATTGTATTAAAATCCTGAGTATGGGTTTTCTAATTTATATATCTTTCATAAGTAATAAAATATTGCTTCCGGATGTTGAAATGCAAATTTCTACAGAATATTGTAAACTTAAGAGAAGTAGATTAATATTTCAAAAAATTCGAGTCTTTGAAATGAATTTTGGCGTCAAATTATTTTATGCTTATATATACTACATTGATTGACAAGAAAAGGTAAGCTCCAACAAAAAGAAGTAATTAATGAGAATCGAATCCGCTGGAGTTTACGAGCTGGTGTTATATAGAAATCCTCGAACTTATTTAGTTTGGTGAAATGAGTTCGACGAACCCCAAGAGTGAAGAAAACACTATCGAAGCGATATCGAAATTTACTATTGTATGTAGAGGAGAGAGAGAGAGAGAGAGAGAGAGAGAGAGAGAGAAAGAGAATCGTCATTATTATGTTTTTATATCAAGATAATACTAATCAGAAAGATGATAGCATTTAGTCTTAAATGTAAGTTAAACTTGTACTAAATGTGTTTTTAGTCATAATGAAGCAAATTTTCTATTTAACCAACGGTAGTTTATCGATCCAGAAATAATTTGAAATTAAATAAAACATTTAATTTTTAGAATTTTAAACTCTTTCCAACATTTCTTCGAGGTATATATTTTCAAAATAAAATATAATGTAAACTTATAAGTAGAATAGTGTATATATTTTTATAGATATTTACTATTATAGAATGACCATTTGTCATTTCCGTGCACACAGATTGCGCACAGTGGATTTTTAGATTTAGTATTTTATTAAATTGATTAAAGCGATTGCGATTATTCTTATATATATATATATATATATATATATATATATATATATATATATATTTACGTACATACCCATCAATATTTTATATATTATAATAATATCTAATATACAAATATGCAATAATTTCTTAATAATATTCCAATTCGATGCATTAATTAATATTTCTCTAAAGTTATTGAAATTAAATAAAACATTTAATTTTTAGAATTTTAAACTCTTTCCAACATTTCTTCGAGGTATATATTTTCAAAATAAAATATAATGTAAACTTATAAGTAGAATAGTGTATATATTTTTATAGATATTTACTATTATAGAATGACCATTTGTCATTTCCGTGCACACAGATTGCGCACAGTGGATTTTTAGATTTAGTATTTTATTAAATTGATTAAAGCGATTGCGATTATTCTTATATATATATATATATATATATATATATATATATATTTATTTATTTATTAATGGTACAAAATCTTCATTTAATATTAGCTTAGAAAAATATAGTTTTCACTACGCGAGTGCACACGCACAATATTATTGCTGATCAAATGCATTGATTAAAAAAAACTTTCTTTTATATTTTTCATTTACACTCATTAATCGATATTTTGTTTTTCCTATCGAACGGACTATCTTTCATTATTACAAAATATTATTATTCTCGTTTAATGGAGTTAAGTTTACTTGAGTATACCGTGAATTACGCTTTACATATTATTTTTGTGCTGTGGTGGCAATGTAATTATAAATTATTAAAAATACAATTATACGTTCGCTTCAATGTAATAAACAAAAGCTAAAATGAACTGAAATCACTCGGAATTATTCGAGATTATTCAATCTCTGTGGATTGCAGGCAGAGAGGTAGAGTTGGGAAGAAATGAAAAAACGAGAAAAGCAACAAGGACGGAGAGAATTATTAACTGGCACGTGAGCTTATTCCAAGTAGAGTTTAGTAGTCCGACGTGCAATGCCACAGGGTCGGGGGAATCGATCGTCCGGGTGTGCTTGGGGATTAAGCCGAATATAAACCATAAACGGCTGGTGCTCACTTACCTGCTACACCTCCGGACACTTCCGTATTGGCAGTACCGTTTTGTCCTGGACTCCGTGAGCTCGAAGTCCTCCCCAGCGGTTCCATACGAATGGCTTCGCTGCTCGTGCGCGTCGAAGACGCGGTTCCCGCTCCCGGCATTTTTCACTTTATCTTTGATGTATGGGGGAACACGTTGTTCTCGTGAGCTAAGAATTTAACGGTTTCCGTTCAAAGTTAGAAGGATATTATGATTAAATAGGCGATGCGACGAACGGCGTTGCTGTCGATTGCAGATGCACGCACGAAGATTATTCGTAATTGATCCAGATAAAAGTAATATCGAGTCTTCTCCCCCCGGGAATGCCTGTTTGCACTACTTTTGGCTTATCTGGATATTTTTGTGAATTAAGACAATGATTGCATTGGAATAAGAATCGTGATGATTTGAAATTCATTAAAGCTACAAAATTGTATATGCGGTTCGCGGAAACGCAGATGTCATTTCCATTAGCGATTTGTAGCATGAAGATATATTTATTTCTTGATATTATTAATATTATGCTCGATATTAATTATATTCAGAGAAAACAATTAAGAATCGTAAGAAATTTTATGTTTTATTATTTTTTCTTTTAAGTTTCTAAGCATAAATTCACAGTCATTTTACGCTTTGTTAGTGGCGATAGATGTTTACTATTAAATTCTGTAGATCAGCAGCTGGTAGTAGTTAGGTAGGCATATTCTTGTTGTGCTATATAAATGCTTCTTAAACCTTAGGAATCTTGTATAGAACTTTTGTATTTACTATATCTCTTTCTCGCATATATATATATATATATATATATATATATATATATGTTAAAAATGTTCTGTTTGAGAAGCAACGATATATAAAATTTAATGATTGTACACGTAGCAGCAAACATATTCCGTTATTCCTCCATTCGCTCAAATTACTCACAGTTTCTTCATAAATCTTTGTTGTATTTTTGGAAAAAAAAAAAAAAAAAAAAACACACACACACAATATCTTCAATGTAAAATCCTCTTAATCTTCTTAAGTAAAATAATTACAGCTTCTTTATTCTCTCAGAAAATGAATATCATCGACGTTGTAACGACGCAAATCATTTATGTATAAATATAATTCTACATCGATGGTAAGAGTACCAACTTCAACTTCGCTTCCTTCCATTGTGCTCTTTACAACGCGAAGACAATCAATGAGGAGAGTACACGGTTAGTGCAAACGGTGTTGTAAAACCTATACGAAGCAAAGGACAACATCATCTATAAAGTGAATAAACATGATATACTTAAAAAAATGATGAGGCATGATATTTATATTTTCTTATAAAAAAAAAAAAAAAAAGCTTTTGTATTAGTCATAGAGATGTTGAGTTGGCACATTTATTACTTTGTTGAAGAGCTTTTTCACTTTGATATTTTCGTATCACATTATTTAGGACGTTTATTTCATCGGGGACGATGTGATCGACCTCCGCGGCAGCCGAACTCGGCCTACACGATTAAATCTTCGATAAAAAAATATAAACAGCCCTTTCCAAATTGAAAAACTGCTAATTCAATCTATTCACACTCGCGCACGCGTAATATGTAATTAAGTAAAACGTTGAGGTATCGAGCGCCCAGCCGTGTCTGCTATACATAATTATACAACATGGCTGTGCGAGTTGACGGATATGTGTGTTTCACAAAATGTTGATAATGGTCCTGCATGAGTGAGAGGCCGTTAAGATATAATTCCCGCCATGCTAAACTACTTATAGTTCTCTATTAACGGCCCTTCACGCCGTTCTCCCTCTTACGACAACTTTTACTTCCAGCGGTGCCGATCATCGGACAGTTTCGTCGTAAAATGGTAACTTTGGAGAGATTCGAGTAACTCCTTCTCCTCCTCCTTCTCCTCCTTCTCTAGGATACGGCTATCGTGACAGCCTCGGAACCTTAGAGCTGCAAGAGAAATATACAAGCTTAGTGAGAATGCGTTGAGAAGGGCACGATAAATCGCTACGTAGATAAGGATAAGTAATAAGAAGTGTGGATGTTTTATTATCAGCGGCCAATCTCTGGGTGAACTTATTAATACTTGGATTGCGTATAATAAAGTGACAAATGCGTAAATGGCAATGGCTAACTGTAACTAACAGTAACTAACTGTAAAATAATTTTCTGTTACTGTGATAGCGAGTAATTTAGTAATAGTTATTTCGAAATTTGTTTGTTTGTTCTTTTTTTTTTTTTAACCGGCAACTTAAGAATGCGAGATTTCTTTCGTCGAGTTATATAATTGATTGTGACGTCGAACTTGGCACTATGCTTTCTTCTTAAATGTTAATGCCAATAAAATGTCCATATTGTTAAACGTCTGTGGTCTGCTTTTATTTTGTTATCGGTGGCGATTAATCTAATACAGATGTACTTATAGAAAAAACTAATGATAAAAGTCTCGATATATTTTTTTTTCTAAGAATAATATTTTATTTACAAAATTAATGTTGCAGCTTCTTTCATGTTTCCATCTGAATAAAATAGTAAATTTAAATGTGCTTCTTAAAGTTAATAGAATAACTTTTAAGTTTTTTTAAGGTCTGATTACTTTTTGTTATATTAATAATATTAGTTTTTTTTTTTTTTTTATATATTTCTAATTACTTTTGTGGCTAGTAGTATTATTTTTAATATATTACAATAGTTTTTATTGTTTTATATTTTTTGTAAAGTAATATAGTACTTTCATATATTTATTAAAAAAAATATGAAATTTAGTAATTTCTAGCGTAAATAAAAATCAGTTGATATAATTTTTACAATGTAAGTTCATAAATAATAACGTTTATGTAAATTAACAATTACATGTAAGAACATTTTAATTTAATGAATTCTTTTACGAAATTATAACTTTATAACTGCTTTAATCGTTTATCTGTTTATTTATATTTTGTTAATAGCAGTATTATGCGTTGCCATTGATCCACAATAAAAATTATATAAATCTAAAACTTAATACTTTTTATTAATTCATTTCATATTTTTTACAGAACAATGTAGAAGAATTTAAAAACTCTATTTATTATTCATTTGTTTAATGCATTTTTAATAAAGCTCTAATAATTATATATGTTTTTCGAACTATTAGCAACTATTTGTTATAAAAATTTGTATATATTTATAATTATGAGAAATGATTCTTAAAATATTTGTTATCATAAACCGCACTGGACTTGTAATTTTTGTGCTTTCACGATGATGTAATTTTATGGGATTTTCTATATTTTAGTAAATTTATTAATAACATGTAAAAATTATATTTAATGTTTAATCTTAATATCACATGGAGCTCATTAATAGTATAAAAGATTATTGTGGATCTTAAAGAAAGTTTGATTTAATAACGCCAAGTCTTCGGGAACTTTTACATTTACAGATACAAAATAAACTGTTACATTGCAAATTTAATGTCCATTGTTATGAATTATTGCAGATTCATTCGATTATTGTACTTTTTTTTTGTTATAATAATGTCATCTCAATATACATAAATTATGCGCACAGTGTGTAAAGTTAAAATGACTTAGAATAAAGGCAATTTTCTCCACGTATGGTATATGATTTGCTGTTACAACACAAATATACGTTTACTTTCGTGTAATAAAATAAAATTTTCCTTTTCTTTCTGTATTAATCTTTTCTTGGCTTGATTTATTATATTAATGTTTTTTTTTTTTTTATTATCTAATAACTTGCTTAGTTTATTCATATTAATTTTCCTTTTAATGCATAATTGTCGATGTAGATGAAGACAAGATAATGGCTGAATAATAATGTCATTAAATGCTGATTTAATAATATTCTAATGTATTCATGTACTTTTGAATTGAATTTCAGCAAAGGGTTGGGAGTTCATTGAGGCAGGTCAATACGGAAAGGATAATCTTGCAGTTTTTCACCATCCAATAATAGTATTGGTGTTGTTATGCATATATATGAGATAATAGCAGATGACATCCTTTATTTTCTCCACATGTGGATATCAACGGATTTTAAGACCTGGGATAATTATTGAATTTTAGCATAGTTTCATATAAAGTTTCTAAATACTTTTTACATTTAATAAAGTTATTTTGTACTTCTTATATGGAATTTGAGGTTTTACAAATACCTTGGTTGAAGAATTTCCGAAGGCTAGTGCAATACTTATTAGATGGAAAAATAAATGAACGATCAATTTTCTTCTTTTAAGGCTTTTGCTTATGATCTTTTGAAAATTCTATTTTAAGCAAATATGTGTAATGGTATTTTTATTAGTTACTTTAAGCCATCGATGGTACATACCATTGATATATACTCGGCTGTGGTTGTCGTTTACGTGTATAGAATACAAACTTGCAAAGTACACGAATGTTTGCTAAAATAAAGAACTCGATTTGTTCGTTTAGGAAACTTTAGTATTTTACTATTTTCTAATGATTTATTAGTTTATATAATGTTTTCGTATTCATTTTCGACAATAAAAATAATTATATACGCTTTTTCGATTCCCATTCATCTTGATAGTTTTAATACATTTAAATATGTGTTTGCGTGCGCGCGCGCGTATGTAGTTGTAATTGTATAAATAAAATATATTATCATAAATGTAGAAGTATGGAGTTGAAATTGCTATGGGAATAGGATTTTTATCATACGCAGATGTTAAATTTCAACTAATGATAACTTGTTATTCTTATTGTCTTAATGATAATTATGAAATCTCGGTTTAACATTCCTAAGGTAATTGACGTAAAGTCTAGCCGCCCTAATAATAAGCCACAAAATTAGTTGCAACTTCATATATCTTTAATTATTCTTTTATTATTTAATAGTGCGTTAAAAATTCTTATCAATTCGTTGACTTTTTCTAGACACAAAGCACTGTTTATTATAATTATAATTATTACTATTTTATCCAATCTTCTAGTAAATTTTTGAAATATTTTTTAATTTTAATTTAAATGTAAACTTTTCGTTGCTTGAGAAAAGTTTTGCATAATAATTATTGAAGTTATCAGACACAAAAGATATAAATTTCAATGAAAATCGTCCATCAATCTCATTTCTAAAATTGTGCACACTAGAATGTTCGATCGCTAACTGATTTAATTATTTTACTTCAATATTCCAATCTTATGTATACGTTATATTTACATTAAATATTATAATTTTCGATCTATCACAAGTACAGTTTTAATGTTGATCTAACAACAATTGCCCTTTTTCCAATCTATGGCACAAAACTTTTCATCTTTTTTCCTTTTTGTCATTTTGAGCGTGTTATGCTTGTCAA